CGTAAAGCGAGGGATAAGTGTACTTTATGGTAGATAAAATTAGCTCCTAATGTTGGCGACACCGGCAGATATTAAGATGGCGGTAGTTGTTTGAGGGGTTATGTACTGTTTCAGGAGGACAAAAATTTGAATAAAGGAATTACGTAATTGTATCATGGCCTGTGCATTGATTGTAAGAACTGTGTTTAGATCTTCATGTGTAGGAGAAGTGATGAGAGCTAAATCTTCATCAAATTTAGGAAAGGCATGCAATAGAATGATTTGGAATGATTGTCCAAAATTTGCGAAACGCGAAGGGCGTATATGGAAGGAAGACGTACCAAAACCAGGAAATGGACGGTCATTTCGCCGTATTGTTCATTACCCGGAGGAGTACACAGTACAACCGTTAAACGTAACAAATTTGGCTGGCAGAGATCCGGTAACAGGTAACCTGTCTGATGAACTTTAACAAAATACTCCTGGCTAACCCTTTTCAGCCCCGCACGTGAAAACCCTCCATTTCCCCATTATTATCGACAAATTTTTCTAATGTTATAGAGACGAAGTTGGCAGAATAGGGCTTTTGTCACCAAATAGTACCCCATTTTAACTACACAATTTAAATGTGATTTACTTTGCCATTATGGTCGTATGGAGTAATTTTCTGGGGAAATTCGACTGACAGCAAACACATTTTTCAGTCCAAAAGAAAGTAGTCAGTTATGGCATGTGCGAAACAGTCACTATTGTAAATAAATATTTAAGGAATTAAATATACAGACTGATAAAGTAGAACACAGCTGCCACTTCATGGCTCAAACTACATGGAAATACAAACTTTGAGATGTAGGATTTGAGGTTCTTGGTGGTGAATACAAAGATGGCTGTCATTTGGGTTGTAGCACTATGTAGTCTGGTAGAAGTTTTTCATCCTTTTAAAGGTCCTTGCTTCCTCCATCAAAAGGGCAATCTGATGATGGAGGAAGCAAGGACCTCTGAAATGATAAACTTCTACCAGACTATAGCACAGAAGAAGCCATGTTCAAACTTTGACATGGCTACATATGGGTGCAAACTCAGATTTGATGTTCTTGTAAGATGTTTATATTTCACCTGAGCCTGAATTGCAGAAACTGAAATTTAGTCATGTAAAGTAAGTTTAAGGGAAGATGTCTGTTTGTCATATTGAAATTTGAGGTTCTAATTTGGTGAAGATGTCAGTTGTCATCTTCCTCAGCACATACATACATTCCTCTGAAATGTTTGTAACCATGTACTAGATCATGCCATTGGAGACTACCCTAAAATTGTACTCTGCACGTTCCTGTAATTTACAGTACCAACATGGCAACCAAACAGACTTGTGAGGTGTGATCAACACTAGCAGCATGGCAAAAGATTTTTTGAAAGTGCAGAACGTTGTGAAATCATTTCTTTGTTTTATGTGAAATTACAACATGGTGGTTGAATAAAAAATACATTTCATAATGATTCAGCCCTGTGACCACTTGTTAGATTGTGATGTCAGTAGCATCTGTAACTTTTCACCTTTTGCAGAAAATTATTTATTTTGACTTTTTATTTACTATGTTACAAGACCACAGAACAGATTTGAATAGAACCCGTTGGAATATTATTGGTGTTAAGACATTAACAATCGTGCAGCCTGCATTCTGTGTATCCAGACAATGTGGTTAGGGAGTTGACATTATATGAGGAGACCAGAATATTTGCATCAGTTTTAAATGGTTTGATAAAGATACATCATGTGAATGAGTTATCAAATAGTGTATCACCTGTTTGTCTTAAAAGCGGTAAGTCAAATGTATTTTGTAGTGGCATCGTTCCATCTTCTATCAACAGGGCACAACCAGACTCCCTCAGAATTGAATATTTTTTGTGAGATTGTAGTCCCAATTGAGATTAGTATTCGTCCCATATTTCTTAATTAAATTACAAAAACTATGGTGAAAGTGTTTGGTTATGGCTTTCTTTTCCATGAAAATCTGTAATGTATGAATCTGATACATTGCAAACTTCAGAAATCTCTTGCTCTTGAATGGAAGGAGAGGTTTAATTGAAGTTCTGTTATTAATAATCATTTTGTGGTTACATAAAGGTAAAAGAGGCCATCCCAGTATGCTCATGCGCACGTACACATGTTTTTATGATGTCTGAATGCAGTTTTTGTTCTGTCAAGGCCGAGTTGTTGCCAAAGGAATTGGTGGAGGGATCAAACACAAGTACCACTGGATAGCTTGGATTAGGGAAGGTCCAAAGGAAGGAGAACCCTTAGAAGAGAGGGTGATCCAGATCATGGATGATGGCTGCAGGACAGCCAAAATAGCGCTTGTAGCAGGAGGTGATGAATTGAAGTATATTCTCGCAACAGAAAACATGAAGGCGGGTGATATTATCAAGACTTCAGCGCACATACCAAGAATTCCAGGTTAGTGATATCTGTAGTGTATGAAGTCTGACAAATAGCATTTACTGAGTGACATTCATTTTCAAAGTACTTGCTCTCTGACTTAATGTGCATACTCTGTCTCTGTCATACATGGAAGCATTTCATGAAATAATTTCCAAAAAAATTCTCTCAGTGCTGCTGCTTCTGCATTGCCCATAATGTCTTCAAGTGATTCCAAATGGCACCCTTTCAAAAATATGTTTTAGGGCTTAACCAGGTGTTCCAAAACCCGCATTTGCTTTGTGGCCATAAATTGCTTTGCCAGTAGCACTGTGTTTGAAGCCATGTTGCCACATTACAATGCGATCGCTTTCGTATTTACCTCGCATACTGACCCAGGGTTGTCTGCTTGCTTGCAGCTGTAGTGGGCATAGCATAGAAAGAAGCTGTTGGAACAACTTTCTTTGCAAGTTAGATTCCCTCAGCTGTAGCTAAGGTACTTTCTTGTTTAAATTATCCGTGCCAATCTTACCTCAAGTCGTAATTTAACAATAAAGTAAAATTCATTACATATGCAGTGTGGCAAAGTTGTAAAAACTAATTAAAGGTGTACGATGAAATAGGCACCTTTTCTTCCCGGGCAGAAGTATAAGAAATATTTAGAGACAAGTAGGATTTGAAGGTTTCATGGCGGTGAGTATGAATTGGTGGGTCCCTGTCAGCACAGCATGGCACGTCCTCAGGTTGCAGACAGAGGAACAGCCTCCAGTCTGTTAGCTGCGAATATATTGAATAAACGATCGCGGACGAGGGGTGGACCTCCAGCTTGGGGGTTGGGCGTGAGGCTAACAACCTTTCACCATAAAGAACAGCATTGTTATGCAAAAGTTACCAAAGCCTCAGACCAGGACAGACCTTTGGCACGACTGTGGCAATTAAAAAAGGATATGAGATTTGGAACATGGAATGTTAGGAGTCTCTGAAATTAGAGAATTGTAAGTTGGAATTAGTGGGAGTGCAGGAGGTGCAATGTGAGGGAGGGTGGACATGATCCCAGTGGAAAATTTTGAATTTTTCTATGGAAAGGGAAATGACAGTCATCAGTTAGGGACAGGTTTTTTGTTCGTAGCAGAATTAGGGCAGCAGTAAAGAGAGTAGAATTTTTTTGTGACCGGTTGTCATACGTAATTCTGGAAGGATGTTTGTGCAAAATTATTGTAATTAATGTTCATGCCCCAACTGAGGACAAAAGCTGTGATATCAAGGATAGCATTTATGAGGGATTGGAATGACTATTTGATACATTTGGCAAGTATCACATGAAATTCTGCTAGGAAATTTAAATGCAAAAAGTTAGGAGTGAGGGTATTTTCAAATCCACAATAGATAACGAGAGTCTGCATGCACTTAGCATTGATAACGGTGTTAGAGCAATAAACATTGCTACATCAAAAGTTTTAATTGTAAAAAGTACAAAATTTCCACACCGTGACATTCATAAATACACTTTGACTCGTCCAGATGTTAGCACACACAATCAAATAGATCATGTGTTAGTAGATAACAGAAGGCGGACAAATGTAATTGAGGTGAGGTCATTCAGAGGAGCAGATTGTGACACTGACCATTATCTGGTAGTGGCAAGAGTGAGGGAGCGGCTTTCATTAAGCTGGCAAACTAAGCAAAATTTAGACACAGAAAGATTTGATTTGAAAAAATTAAGTGAGGGAGAGGCGAAGGAACAATATCAAGTTGAAATCTCGAATAGGTTTCAGATTTTAGTGACAGATAAAGATAATGAAAGTGTGGACATCAACAGGGAGTGGGAAAATGTCAGAAACTGCATCAAAATTTCAGCAAAAGAGAAACTAGGATACTACAGGAGAAAGCAAAATAAACCGTGGTTTGATCAAGAATGTTCAAAATTAATAGATCGAAGGAAGCAAACAAAATTTCAATGGTGGCAGAACCCAAACAAAACAAATGCGGATAATCTATGTAACGTGAGACGTGAGGCTAGTAGAACCTTTAGGAACAAGAAAAAGGAATACCTCAAGGACAAAATTATTTAACTTCAGACAAATGGTAAGGACAAAAATATCAGAGACCTGTACAGAGCCATTAATAATTTCAAGAAAGGATATCAACCTGAGACCAATTTGGTAAAGGATGATAATGGCAATTTGCTTGCAGATCCAATCAAAATTTTGAATAGGTTGAAACATTTCTTTAACCAGCTTTTAAATGTTCATGAGACAGATTTAAATACATACAGCTGAATTGTTAGTGCCAGTGCCTCTTGTATATTTTAAAAATCATTTGTTATAAACTATACTTCTTGGCTGTTGAGTGACTGGTAATAGGTTTTCTCTGCGTCTCACAGCACTTTATTATGTCATAAGTTGTCTCCCTTTTTGCACTGTGAAGTACATTGCTACTTCTATGCAGCATTGCTGTTTCACTGATCACTACAAATTATTACATTTTTTTTGGCAGGGGGGGGCAGTGTATGCAGGGTCCTTTAATGTCTTTTCTCCCCACATTCCCTTGAGCTGGTGCTCGACTTTTTGGCAGCTACAATAAAATGAAGGACGTTAAATATCTTCTTTCTATATTAGACACTTCCCTTCAGTTTAATTATTTAGAACTATATAAGTCTGTATTTATCTTGACAGTACGAGGAAATGAAGGTGATGCGTATCCGCTTGGAGCTTTGCCAATGGGAACAAGGGTGAATTGTATCGAGCGCTTTCCAGGGCAGGGGGGCCGATATGTTCATGCAGCTGGCACATTTGCCACAGTGATACGGCACGTTGGAGACCGTGTTATTGTTCAGATGCCCACAAAACATGAACTCTCTTTCTCTCAAGAATGCATGGCTGTTATTGGTGAGTATTGAAGTTAACTAAGAAGTTTGATGCCACAGCTATGACAGCTCGTTTAAAACAAGTCTGTTTTAACATCATTATCCATCTGTGCTTCATTAAACAGAAAAATATTTTCCTTCTTGACATGGAAATCTAATGGGTTTAAATCCAGAGAATTCACTGCCATTCTGTGGATTTGACAAATTTTGGACAGTTGGCAGATAGAAATTTATGGGTAAACTTGGCTCTGTGAGATGGTATATTGTCTTGCACTAATATATCTTCCCTGCCATACTAATCCCGACACTGATGTAGTTTATGCAAGTCCTCTACATAAACGTCAGTATAGATTTATGAAAAATAATTTTTTTCTCATTATGGGAAACTCCACAAGATACCGTAATCATGATACAGTCTGGATGGGGTCCTATTCTACATCACTTTCAATAAAGAAATATGGTTGAAAGATGAATAAAATATACCCATTTGTAACATTTGTTAAGGAATTTTTTTTGTAACATATCAGTCGAACTGTTGAAATATATTTTTATACACAAACTTAATTATATTTTATGCAGTTCACATTAGTTTTATTCGTATCTGTTGAGCTTTTCATTTCTACCATTGTTTAAGAAAATATTTTTTCCACCGCCTGATATTGCACTTTTCTCCTGTTTCCATCATTCCATCTATTCTCCTCCCCCAACAAGGCTGTGGTCCATTTATCCATCCAAACTTCATTTTTGTTTGGTGTGTTCGTATACCTCATCTGATTTTTTGCACGTGGCTTTCTTATCACCCTGATGATGGTAGCAGTAAGCGTCTCATAAATGTTTGTCAGTTTCTGTGAGGCTGTATAGTGCAGCATCCCAAAAGTCATCTTATTATTGATTAATTAGTTTTGCAACAGTTTATTTGTATTTACAATAAATGAATATCAAATTGAGTGTGTATGAAAAATGAAATGCATTTGCGAAATGCAGATACTGTGTTAGCATACATCTTTTTGCTCTTATTTTTTAGTCAGGGGCATAAAAGTTTTGTAAGTATTGTGAATTTTTCTCTGTGTTCTTGCTGTGGTTAGTGCCACTCCCATTTTGAGGTTCTCCTCTCACATTTGCCTTTCCAGGGTTTTTATTTCAAAATTTACTAATAAGTGTGACTAATTTGAAGCCAGGAATTAAATATTGAATGTTAAATTTTTGTGTAGGGAGACTATCTAATGTAATGCACAACAAGACTCCAATTGGAAGTCCTCAGAGACTGCGTGAGCTTGGGTACAGACCAAGATCAGGATTGTGGCAGCGCAAATCTGGAAGACATGGCCGCAAGATACGTCCCTTGCCTCCGGTCCGTGTCTTGGACAAACCTCCTCCAGAAAGACCAGAGCCTATTGTATTGAGTTTGCCAGAACAATAAAGTTGTTAATAGTTATGCTCAGAGTTTGAGGACAGTCAGGGCGTAATACTGTGGTCTGGGGTGTTTACAGATATTCAGATTTGGAACATACCTGCATAATTTGGTGAACAGTGTCGTCTCACAGTGAGCCATTTTAGAAATGTTAGAGTGTATCTGGTTCAGTGGATTAACTGCTTCCCTCATTAATTTTCTTCTGAAAATATTATCCAAAATATCACATTGTTTTATTTCACATTTAGAATTTTCCTGAATAATGAAATTATTGATTTTGTGTTTTGATGCAGAATATTTAATCACTCTTATGATGATTATTTCCCCAAGTTATCACTGGATTTCTTTTAATTGTCTGTAAAATTAACTTCTTTAGAATCACAACGTAGCGATGTCACTGGAGGTATCATGTGAACATATGTTAAGCATATAGATTTCTACTCGCGCATGCTGTGGTACAAAAATATAAAAACACATTTGGCCGAAGAAAGTACAGTACTCTGTCATTTACGTGCATCAGCAGTCTCTTATACGTATTTTCTTCATGACCCAAATTAACTCGGTTTGGTAATGACGGGGAAGAAAAATTATTATCTCAGATTAATTCAAATTAATATTTTTTTGTGAAAATCATGAACCCGATATATCTCGGGATAATCAGGGAAGCAGCTCATAAAAGACTTAATTTATGTTTCACCTGCTTTGCTAAATTGCGAAAGCACTATTTTGTGTGAAGAGCCCAGGCTTATGGTGTCATCATGGTCACAAGGCCGGCTCGTCAATAACGGGTTCGTCGTTTGACGTGTTTCCGCGAAACGTGGTATGCTATTAGAGGTCAACTTGTGTGCAAACGTCGGTGTTAATGACCTGGCTGCCTTGCAAACCGTCGAAGTGGCAGCATCCTGAACTGAAATTTTGTCTGGTGACATGTCTTTGAAAAGTTTGCTAGCGTGTCACACTTAGAGCCTGCTGCACACTGGACGCAGCCTAGCACAGCACAGATCGTCCTAGCAGAGACAGTTTCCTGTGCCTGCATCTCAGGTCCACATCTTGATCGCAGTCGAGTGTGGGGTTTTGTCAAGGTGCTGATAAATTCAAAATGAATATATCGAAAGCAGTGCTGCTGGATTTTCCAAGTTCTGGATATGGATCAGAAAATATGCAAAATATGTTGTGAAGAGAAAGATGTCTTCCTATCGAAAGAATGTGACATAGTAAATTTCTGTTTTCGTCAGAGCTCTCAAGCAGTCAATTTAGCAACTATTTTTAGCTGAACAGAGACAGATTTGATGAGTTGCACCAGCAGATTGAATTAGATGCCATGGAAAAAGAATGTAATGCTCAACAGCCCACTGAAAGAAACAAAAAGCATGTTTTGTGTTTAAGGTAAGAGCTTTTTATTCATGTTTCACGTAAGAAAGATTCTGATAATAAAAATTACAAAATGTAAAATTTAGTCAAACCTTTTATTATCTCTGCAAGAGATCACGCAGAGCATGTGTAAACACTAACATGTACATTAGCCTTAATGGAAGTTCCTCAGGTGTGTGTTTAAGATTCATTATAGTGACTGACTGCGGACTGGACGACCAGGCTTCGATCCCTCTAGCCTCTGCGCCGAGACTGACTCTGGTGCCCACCCTGTCTCCCATCCAATGGGTACCAGGCTCCTTTCCTGGCGGTTAAAGCACAACCGGGGCGTGATGCTGACCACTCATCCCAATGTATTGCTGAGTTTAAGGAAGAGTGGGATCTATACTACTCTCCCTCTAGGTGCCTACATGGTGTACAGCAGGACAGCTTTACTTTTTACAAACAGGTGTGTACTCAGAAATGAACTCAGTTAACTTTATGTGAAGCCACTTCACTTTCAGATGTGAGAAGTAGCGGGTGATCACAAAGGAACGTAACACTGCCACAGCGATACAGAAAACAAATGCGGCCAACTCAAAACTTCACACCCACACCATTCAGTAGAAAAACTGTAAGTTTCGTTTCAAATGACTGGTGATTGTTGTTGTTGTTGTTGCCTGCCTCCAGTACTTTTTGAAATGGCTACCCCACAACACATTAGTTGGTGTGTTCTGCAGTTCGCTAAGAAAGAGTCTGTAATAGTCGTGCATTTTGGACCCCGGAGCCAAGTATCCTTTCCAAGGTTGAGGCAGCGAATCACGACTGCTGCCATCACTAGGGACAATCTGCACAAAGTTTGGGATGGATGGAATGTCGAAGGTGGCAGAGCGATGAATGCCTCACTGCCTTGACAATGGAGGCACCAAGGATGTCAGAAATGCCGGTAAACTTCTGCAGGACCGCACGGCGCAACGACCCAGAAGACGGCCGTCTTCAGACTCGCCGCTGCGAAAACCTCAAATTCTTCATCCAAATCTGTCCAGCAGTTGTTCATTTTAATCTTGCTGACGGACAAACACGCAGGGAGACGCAGTGCAGTTGTTATTCAAGGTCACTTGCATCTTTACGGTTCTTGGCCGAGTAACCATTCCCAGCAAGAGAAGAAGGACCCAAGCTCATTTATTTGTGTTGGTATCATTGATTGCAGGTAATTGAAAAATACGGTTTTAGGATTGCTCCCAAAAGCGTGAAGTCCGCAGCAAATTCAATCCAAAATCACTTAGCAGTTCTTGAATTGATTCCTGTGCATCCTGTAAAGTGATCTCTACATTTGCTACGGGTAATAAGATGGAAACCACTTTGAAAATAGTGAGAGCGGTAACCGGCGAAATACGGTCTGCGTGCAGAATTATCTCGGAGTTATCTACCAAAAATAAACTTCACAGTTAATTGGTAAAGAGTTCAACTTTCTAGCGATTGCTGAGAATTTAACAACAAGACATTTCTTTATTACTGTAATTCAAAGTTGAAAATCTGTTTGATTTTATTTTTCTGTCCCTGACGTAACATAGTTTAATATGTTTCACTTTTATTCTCATGCAACGGCTGAATTATTTTCTTCTGAAAATGTGGGTTTCCATGGAAACGGTACTCATCTTGCTGTTTAAGAGAAATGTTTTAAGGCGTCGTGCTCGCTGGATGCCATGTTTCCAGTCATAACAAAGTAGAGACATCTTTTATGAATGCGCTTGATAATATTGCTTAAGTCTGGGTTCTGGAACCTCTTTTCAGGATGGTTCCTCATGACTACTGTTGTCATAATAAATATTTAAGTATTAAAGTCTCTGAGTTGAAAGTTTGAACAAACTACGATACAATATTATGCCTCATTGAGTTTTTTAATCTCTGTCCACATTTTGCTGGAAATGACCTGTGTAGTTGATACTCATGAAAATGTTCGGCCGAATCAGAGGTTCATAGAATAAAAACCAGATTTAACAGAAGACAGGTTTCAGTTGACAAGAAAAGATTTCCTTCTGACGCCGCGTGGTCTCGCAGGTGGATGGACGCCGACGTTTTTGGGAAGACGCTGGTGCCAACAGTGGCACTGATGAGTGCTAGAGCGAGTCAAGGAGCAACTGACTGCAAGGATTGACATTGACCTCTGGTCGCATTCGTGGTGTGAAGAACGCCTTCGGAATATCAGTGTACTCCGACGAGTACGCTTTTCCTGTCGCATCTTCAGTTGTAAACGTAAGTTAATTTTGTGATATTTACATTTTGTTCACGCACTAGACTCGCCATGGATATTATTAAAAATGAGATTTGTAATTGAAGGACTCCGTGTCGATATGTCAGTCGTATTTGAGATTACGAAGGAGCTGAGCGGCACTTTGGATGTTGACCTGACCTACGCTTGCCGAGGAATGTCGTCATTATTCTCAACGACTCGCATTAATTACGACAGAAGGAGATGTCTCTCCGATTGCTCCGGCCTCCTGTAGTACCTCAAGGTCCGCGAACCTTCGGCCTTGCGCTAACCTCAGTAAGATGCCGGCACTGAATGTACCAAAAGAAATGCACTTTCGGATTTAGAACATAACCTGAAGCAAACCTGTCCGAAGCGAAACACCTTTGGCTTTTGCCTAGCGGTAGGTCAGGCCGTGGGCGTGGGTCTATTTCGTGATGGCCCCGGGCCGAATACACCACAAAGAAAGCTTAAAATTTGGCCATAGAATAGAAGTTACCCGTTTGTTGTGGTTTAGACCTAACTGACGCAAAGTGCAGTTTTTCGGGGGCTGTGCCCCACACATCGCTGCGTCAGTGAATTTCGAAAGCCCTGTCCTGCGTCACTTAGGTACAAGCTCCGTAAGTTTCGAGCCAAGAGTAAATCGGTCTTTTATTTAATATTTTCAATATTTGAACTATTCGATCTAGGGGCACGTATTCCTAGGACTATTTTTAGCACGTGTCAGCAGAACTAAGCCCTTTGAGTCGAAACTCTCAGTCAGTGCTCGTGTGTTATCGGCGAGGAATAGAATAATCTCCAGTTCCTCGTGAACGCGAAGACACTTCGACCGCAACACTTGCAGCTTCCGGACGTGGCTGCAGGCAGCCAGCTGACCTCGAGGTCGGGCATGCGTACTCCGTCTGTGCCGTTAAATAAGTAATGTGTTCGTCTGGCCGAGGTTAGGGACCAGAGTTCGACTGTCGTGAGCGTCGGGTTCCACAGAAGCTGGTGAATTGCTTGTCTGAGTGAGCGTGCAGTATCGTCTCTTGCTCCGACGTGGTCCGGGGCCTGTGTCGCCCGCCTTAGGTCGTTTTCTGCTGTAACTCGAACCGAGAACCTACTGTCGTGCGTCTGGACATTGTCCTTATCCAGGAGCGAGTTCCGACAGTGGAAGCTGAATCTCGTTCTCTCAGTGCAGAAAGAGGGCTGCAAAGTAGGGCGCCATGACAGAGACTGGGGTTGTTTATTTACCAGCGAAATCATCGCTTGCTTATTAATTCGCTGTACCCGCGGGGGAAATCAAACAAATATTTGCTCACGTGCAACGTTCTCTTTTCCGATGTTGTTATTTGCTTTAGAAAGTTTCTGCAGCGTCTGTGATAGGCTTTGTTGTGAACGACGTGGAAGAAAGCTGTCGTGGCCTGCTTTAAGGTGTCTTAACTTCCTATAACGACTGAGGATACTCACGAGATCAAATGCAGTAGAAACAGCTAAATTATTGGGCTCTGTCCGTCGTCGGCGTTTCGGAAGCTGGATCTGCTTCCGTCCTCAGATTAGAAAGGGGGAGGGGAGGTAGTCCAAGGATCTAGTGATCCCGACTGTGACTGTGAGATCAAATACGCTTCAGATAAATAAACGCAAGTCATCGTGAGACCTCCAGAGTAGGAATGACTCGTCTTCGGCTAGGAAGTGCGCGGGGAACAGATCGGACTTGTTTATGTGACATAGTCTTTCTACGCAGAACATTGAACCCTTGAAAACAAAGTTCATTTGACGCAAGTGCAACACGAATTTCGGCGATAAACTTACAATGATTTCTCAGTTGTCGTCCTTGCATCAAAATACTTTGAAGACGCAATTTCTGTAACCGAAAGTTTTGGAATCGATTTTTAATGCCAGTGCCTTCTTTATTGGATGAAGCTGGCAAGAATTGTAAATCAATGTTTTAAATTGAATTATTCCTGCTTATAATTTCAGACAGTAATTACTCACGTTGAAACTATAACACTCTGCCATACGGCGTGTAAAATGTTTCACTCACAATTGTTTTGCTCCGCGTTCCTCAAAGCCTCGCGTGTGTACCTTCAATGACTCGCCAGATATCCTGATAAAACTAAAGCTGAATTTGCATTCGATGTGTGACCTCTGTGTTGTTTTACGTTCCTTAAAGAGCGCATGAGGACGACCGCGTACTTGTCGCACATGTGTTAGCTCGCAGTCCGAGATACACGTAGACGATAGTAAGAACAAGGAATCTACATTCACGTAATTGACTCAACCCCCATTGCAAATGTAATATGCATATTTATATTGTATTTATATCCGTATTAAATATATTAAATCCATACTAGCTCTAGAGCTTATTTATGATGAAATAAGAGCGGGTTAAATTATAGTAATTATTCTTTCCGTTCGGTTCGCAGTCTCTTGTGTTCGCATGTCGCATCTGAACCCCTACGGTTTGACATAGGCTACACAAAACTACAGTATATTCAGAATAACCGAGTTTGAAACGTACAAATTCTAACAGAATGCAAGAACGGATTCTTCAGACATTTTGCGTGTTTTTATTTTGCGTGTTTTTATTTTGCGTATTTTTTAAAAAAAATACACTGCGAAAATAAAGTGCCCAAATACCACAGCATTTTCGTCTTTGCTAGAGCTCTCAGTCTTTCCGAAACTCCTCACAGATGAGATATTTCTCCCAGCCTGTTTCCATGCCAACCTCTTCATTGCCACCAGAAACAATCTCATCGTTCATGTGTGTGTCCTGTTCTGATGAAGGCGAGTCTAGCGGTGTCTTCAGAATCTCAAGTTCCGGGAATGTCCACCGCGTTCAGCGATGCTCTCATTCGTTCTTTTCCTCGTGCCTG